ATAAAATGATGACATCGTATTGGTAACCGATAAAAAAGAAGAATTGTTTGAAATGATGAAAGAACTGGACGTAGAAGTTGATAAGATAGGCCTTAATATGAATTCCAGTAAGACCAAAATCATAAAAAATACAGCTAAGGACATCACAATGAGGATCGGACAAGATGAAATAGAACAAGTTCAGGATTATATATATCTGGGTCAAACTATAAACCTTAACAAAGAAAACCAAACAGCAGAGATAAAAAGACGAGTTAGACCGACATGGGCGGCATTTGACAAACTAAGATACATTCTTAAAAACAAAAGATATCCACAGCATCTTAAGACCAAAGTATACAATCAATGCGTACTCCCTGTTCTCGGTTATGGTTCCCAAACGTGGACATTTACAAAAGCAAACATGGACAAAATCATAAAAATCCAAAGAGCAATGGAAAGACAAAGACTAATGGATAAAAAGAGAAACGAGTAAATAAGAGAGAAAACAAAAGTGAGGAATGTTAGACAAGAAGTTACAAAATTGAAATGGAGATTTACCGGGCACAATATAAGACAAAAAGAAGACCGATGGAACAAAATTCTTATAAGTTGGAGACCGTGGGAATATAAATGAAGCAGAGGATGCCCCCAAATGAGATGATATCATGAAGCACGTGGGCTCTAGGTGGATGATTGTAGCAACAGACAAAGAAGAATGGAAAAGGATTGAGGAGGCCTATGTCCAAAGATGAACCGAAGAAGGCTAATTAGATAGATAGATCGGCCACAAAGTGCACATAGGCCAGTGATCAGTTTTCAAATTCTTTCGGGTCTATTTTAAAAATCCCTGTTTTTGTTGCGACGATGAGTTTGTACTATCTATGAGGGCAAATGAAATGGGACTATTACGAACAGGGATACCATATTATAAAGATCTATAAAACGGGACTAACATCTTTTCAAATTGACTCTATGTGATTTCTTTATATTATCCTTGGTTATGCTCTAATAATTTTTTTATCAGATTTGTGACTAATCATTTAATGACATCATTGTCAAGTATACTTAGCCTACCAGTACATCATAAATAATTTTATAATAAAACAGAATCTAATATCGTTGTTATCTGTTGTAATGTATATAAATGGTTCTTAATTGTGAGATTAACATTCACGTAACGAGCTCAATTACCAATGAAAACAGATTTTATGTGTTTTACGTTTTTGTACACAGTTCCTTCTGATTCCTATTATGCAACCATTGGCCTTGGCGGTTGTTTTGAATGGAATTAATTAAAGTAGATATTCTGTTTTGCCGGCGACATTATCATTATGACTTGTTGAATGAATTGGATGATTTTAATAAAATTTTAATACAATTGTTTATTTTTCTATTTCGCATTATTACATAAAATGTCTATATATGTTTTAAATTCATTCTTATTTGTTATTAATTATTTGTTTAAAGATTTCTGCCAATTATAGGAGAAAAAGACCTATCTCAAATTATCAATTTCGATTCAAATATGCCAATTCCACCACAGAAATACGATTACAAGTGATATGTAACTACAGTACAGAAAATGAGATATGACTGATGGGAGATCCACACGCAGCGCTGACACGCGGTCTGTGACAGTCGCTTTTATTCACGCAATTTTCTTCACCTGTCACAGGGCAACAAAAAAAGGCAGTTTTTTTTGCAAAGTTTTTTTTGCCGCGTACAAATTTTCATATCAAATTGGTTAAATAAATCAATTAGCATCGTACTATGCAATAAGTAGAGTGTATTGGCAAAACATGGAGCCGTATGTTATACAGTCGGTATCTTCTTAGGTGCCTTCTCCATTACTGAAAGTTGGCTATGACTACAGCAAATTGCTCTCTATCTTGAGATGTTCTTATAGTTTATTTTTATGAACGAGAGAGTAATTAGCATAATTTTAACTGGTACCTTCGACCACTCCATGGGCGTGCTTAAGATTAATTGAAAAATTACTTTGAATAGTTGTAAAAAATAAATGAATTATTTCAGTGTTATAAAGTGTTATGTGTATGTAAACAAAAGTGACCTCTTTTATCACACACTATATTAGAACTGACTGGCCTACATTAAAAAAAGTTTTAAAAAATTCACATTTTTTTTAATTTTTAAAAATTACAAAAGAGAAAAAGAGTTTTTAAAACCGTCTAAGGTATGTTAAATACATGAATAAAAATATTAATATAAAACTTACAGCTACTTGTTACAAATCCAAATCAGATTCAGAAGATGAACTTTCAGAACCAAGATTTATAATAACTGGCTCGATCATTTTATCAGTAATATTGTCCAGCTTCCACATTTTTTCCTCTTCTTTAATAGTGTGATTTACTGCCTTTTCCCAGTTTTCAGGTTTTACATTATTTACGGCCTCCAAAAACAACTGTTTAACATCATGAATTTTAAAAGTGGTATTTTTTCTTGAAACTTCACTCTTTATCTGTGCCCATACCAGTTCAATCGGATTTAATTCACAATGATATGGTGGGGATCTAAGTACTGTCATTCCACGATTTTTGGCAATTTCATCAATTTCGTATTTTTTAAATTTTTCTTTATGAAGGGCACACAACGAATAAAGTTCCTTTCTTATAGATCCGGGATGGTACGTAATATTTTTTGAACTCAGCCAATTCTGCAAGTCTTTTTTTAACCACTTGGTTGTGGGCAGTCCTTCTATAAGTCTGGAGTGATAACTTGCATTATCCATTACTATTACACAGTTCTTAGGAAGTAGATCTGTCATTTGTTCGAACCATTCTTGAAAGACATCAGCGTTCATGTCTTCATGGTAGTCACCGGTTCGAGTTGATTCAAAAGTTAATAAACCACCTTCAACAAAACCGTCTGAACTGCCAATGTGTACTATTATCAGCCTGCGTCCCTTTCCTGATGATGGGTTTAAACCAGTAGATAATTTACAAAAGCGTGCCTTTGACTTGTAACAGTTTCATCCTGCCATAATTTATTTGGTGTATGACCCTCGTTGATCCATGTTTCATCAAGATAAAATATTTTTCTTTTTTGGTTTCTCATTTCCTTTATGGTTCTTAGGAAATATCTTCTCCATATGACAATAACGCTTCTTTCTAATAAAATAGACTTTCTGGGACTCTTTTTCTAGCGGAAGCCTATTTCTTCTAAAAGTTTCCATAACATACTTCGACTCATTTCTGGGTAATCCTTATCATCTCGAACTGAGACAAGAACTTTATCCAATGTTGGAAATTCTTGTCTAAAGAAGAATTCATGCACTTTCTGTCGAAGTCCTTCTATAAAATGATATTCTATTTGAAATTTTGGTTTCCCTGGAGCATTACGTGGCATTTGAAAACTACCACATTTCTCTTCTTTAATAACTCTGTAAATCGTAGATTTCCCAACACCAAGTGTACTGCTAACTAACTCAACGGTCTCATCAACACTTTCACATAAACGTTTGTCTGTAAATGATTTAAAACAATTAAAGATTAATGTTTTTTCATTAACTGTTAAAGGACCAATTTTCACGGCGTTTACACGACACTTCCAAATTTTCCATAACACTAGTATACACAATAAACTGCACCTTGCAACTGAAGTACCTACTTTTAGTGAACTGTTAAGAATTTTGAATACGCCACTTGGACCTTCCTACAAAATGGAAAAACCCACTATCACATTTTCTATGGAATAAGTTTAGAAGGTGATTATCTAGTCAATTACTGTCGTAGATTCTTGGAATTAAAGAATTGTTTGATTGTTGAAACCCTTACTTCGTGGAATGCACTCATTTTAGATAAAATAAAACGTTTTATTTTATTTAAAGAATTAAACTTTATTTTGCAAATAGGTAGGTACTTTATTGGTTATATATAACCAATAAAATAAACATCTTACATTTCTTGCAAATTCATTAGTACCTGTTAACCTCCATCACTCCGACACTGGCAACCTTATTTAGGGATTAGTAACCCTCACAACTATTGTATTCTATTCTGCTCCAACCTTTATACCTGGTGGTCATACTCAATTTAAAATTGTTTTCCTATATACTTCTGTAAACTTGTTGACAAATATCTGTTTTTCATTGAGTCACCCGTATCAACAGTTTAGGGATTTGCATACATAATTTATTGTTTTATTACTCTCTCATACATAAAAATACACTATAGTATCGAATGTGTGTCCATGCCTGTTCAGTCTCTTACATTCTTCAAGCAGGAGCATTTTCTTCTTCCTGGACCTCTTCTTTCTTTCACTTTCCCTTCCATTATAAGTCGTAGGAGGTTGTACTTTTCTCCTCTGTATGTAAATATGTCCTAGATAACCTGTTTTTCTGTTTTTTACAATATTTAGAAGTTCTCTCTCAGTACCCATTCTTCTTAGCACCTCGTTGTTGGTCACGTGCTTTGTCCAAGAGATCTTCAGAGCGTTTTCAGGGGCACTTCGTCAAATTTGGCCTATCCAACAATCTGTTGAGAATGCCATAAACATAAAATTGTACATTCACTACAAAACACAAGGACAAACAGAGAATTTCTCTCCTGATGCCAACTCTCCTGATGAGAACTACACGACGGCTCGATTTGACAAGAATATGCTATAACGAGTGCTAAATTTAGTACAATAAATTATTACAAAACTATGTAGCAGTTACTGCGACGTTAAAAAATTTCATTATTTCTGCAAAAAATTTAGTTAGGTTTTAAAGAATTGATGGATTCGACCGTTACTTGATGAAAATTCATTTTATGTAACAATAAAACACTGAAAACTTTGTTTTCAAAACTTCCACAAAATTTATTATAAAATCTTATCACTACAGCTGTTTTGGTAGAGTTTCGGCACTTAAGAAAGGCACTCTGCCAAAACAGCTGTAGTGATAAGATTTTATAATAAGTTTTGAAAACAAAGTTTTCAGTGTTTTATTGTTACATAGTTAGGTTTTATAAGCTACCCGTAGAAATTTTAAATAAAGAAAATTATCCACTTACATTCATTAAAGCCATCCCTTCTTCGGTAGAGGTAAGAGCAGTAAGTGTATACTGGCACACTTCGGGGCAGTACTCGGGAAAAGTGTCACCTTGTAGAACGGCCGAACATCCAACTAAATAGTGCTGAAGAGCCATTCCACAGCCAACTCTGTATGCGCATTTTAATCGTGCTTCTTCACATGGAATTCCTGATGTTACTCCTGCTAACCACGCTACTGATACCATAATTAACCACATACCGCCTGAAACAAACAAAAAATTAGTTATCGTAAAATAGTTTCGAAACACAATTCATAAAATAGTTTCGAAACACAATTCAGATTTCTGCTTTATAATCTGAGCCTTCTAAGAATTGCAAGGCAAACAGACGTTGATAAAAGATGTTAAAAGAGACATGGGGAATCTAAAATTTGCATTCCACGACATGTCTTTTACAACTAAGCAGAAATCCTTAGCGAATTGTGTTTCTCGTACTCCCACAGAGTATATCCGAATAAAATGAGAAAAGGCAGCAAATATTTGATTTCACGCAAACAAATCCTATGTATCTCTTGATACGTATTTCGACCTAATAGGTCTCGTCAGAAGAGCTATTCATAGGGGTTCTCAACTTGAAAAATCAATATTTTCTGCCTTTTAAGAAGCAACAATAACATGGCTTCAATACGGACGCAGTAGCGACATCTAATTAAACAATCTCTCAATCTCAATCTCTCAATCAATTTCTTATTTTAAAAAATAAGTTATTGTACCTGGTCAAATTGCTGAGCTTCTGAGGAAATATTATTGGTCACAGTAGAGTAAATTAGTACAATATGACAAAAAAAATTGTAGTGGTCATACGAGTCAAGGAGCTAATGTTAAGTTTTATGCCTGTTTGTTTTATGCCTATACATTACCAAGTATCTCAGGAACAAGCGGGGTTTGTAAAGGGTAAAGATTCTTGGGAACACATCCTGAACCTACGATAACTAATTGAAAAGTCTAGAAAATTCCAAGTACCTATGATTATATGCTTTGTTGAATACCAAAAGGCATTTGATTGTGTAAGCTGGATAAATGTGTGGTCCATTTTAATAGAAATGGGCACACCAACGCACCTGGTGACACTTTGAGAAAAATCTGTATCAGTCCAATATAGCAATAGTACGACCAAATCACAAGTTCCCAAACCAATTCATAACCGAGAGAGGAGGTAGACAAGGACGTCTGTTGTCACCTGACATTCAACATGAATGTGTAACATTTATGGTGAACATGTCATGAGAATGTCTTTAGATAGATAGGCCGGTGGAGTAGCAGTCGCTGGTAGAAAAATCTCCGATTTTAAATTTGTTGATGACACTACACTTATAGCAGCAAATGAACAAGAAATGTTTAATCTCCTGCGAAGTTTAGTATGCAAGCAATAAAGTTGGTCTGAAAATCAATAAAGCTAAGACAAAAATAATGGTGATCGATAGATTCCACACTATTCAACTGAAACATTTTACAGGAATATCAGATAGTGAACATTTTTGTCTATCTTGGGTCTAGTATAACTAACGATGATAACTGTGAAGCAGAAGTTCGGAGACGTATTGGTAGAGCAAAAAATATCGCTTAACTAAAGTTTGGAAAGATAGATCTATCTCTCAAAATATCAAGATGAGACTGAATGTCCTTGTATTCTCAATATTTCTATACGGGCAGAGACTTGGACCCTTTGCAGAGGTGAGCGCCAAAAAATTGATGCCTTTGAGATACGGTGCTAGAGAAGAATGCTGAGCATACCTTTGACAGCTCATAAGACAAACGTTTCCATTGTAAACCAAGTCGAGATTTAAAAAAGGCTGTCCACAATAAGTCTGCAACATATTCTGCAATTTTTCGGTCACGTGGTTCGCAAAGGTGACGATAGTTTGGAGAAATTAATTGTTTCTGGAAACGCTGCGGGAAGAAAATCAAGAGGAAGATCACCAACTGGATGGTCCGACTAAATTAAGAATTCAGCTGGAAACTTATTCTGACAAGCTTAAGCTAAACAGCTTAAGATAGAGACCATTGGAGAAAAATTGTTAGGAATATTCGAAGACATCACGTTCCTCGGTAATGGGGAAACGATAATAGAGAGAGAGAGAGAGAGAGAAAGAGAGAGAGAGAGAGAGGAGATTCTAGTTCTGATTTAAGCGTGGCAAATGTAATTTTGTGATTCCTTTAAATAATTGTTGGAACCTTGTGTTATTCAATTTGAAACAACTTTAAAACAGAACAGTAAGTGACTGTTCAGCATCGAAAAATTAAGTTTAGCAGATCTGAAACTTTGAATCAAGTTGGAAAATACATTAAGTATAAGTATAATATACAACAAATACCTATACAAACTATGGCAGCAAAAAATTCCTTGTTTATAGTTGCTTTAATATAAGACAAAAAAAATAAGAAACTCATGACCAGTACACAGTTAGTCCAATTCTAGGAATGTTGTTCAATTTCATACAACATGAATATAATAAAAATCAACAACTTTACATATAATTTACTAACTTTAAATACTTCGGAAAGCGTCAGGAGAGAAGTTTGATAATCAAGAGATCTGGTGGTGGCCAAACGAAGAAAGCAACAACTCTCTTGATTTATCTTTTATAATTTATGGCGATGATATAATATATCATCGCCATAAATCAAGTGAAGTATCAAGAAACAAGTCACAATATAAAAACAAAGTTAAAGGAAGCGAAGGAACGCTGGCTGAAGGAGAAATGCGATGAAATCGAAGAGTGCGACAGAAGATATGACTACCACAACATGCACAAAAAGATCAAAGAATTAACAACTAAAAAGAAAACCAATAATCCCCACCCGACACTAATAGACGCAGACGGTAACCTTATATCAGACGACTTGAAGCTTATTGACACATGGAAAGATTACGTAGAACGACTTTTTAACGATAAACGCAGAGCGAGAGTGGACCAAGATGACGACATGACTGGACCCGAAATACTAAGGTCTGAAGTGGAAAAAGCCATTTCATCGCTAAAAAACGACAAAACACCAGGTCCCGACAACATACAGGGCGAGATCATAAAACTCCTATGCGAAACGGATGACCACTTCCTCGATTTTCTGATAGGCCTTAACACCTTTTACGACAAAGGGGAGATTCCGGAGGAATGGCTTCGATCGACCTTTGTAGCCATACCTAAAACACCAAGTGCAAAACACTGAGTAACACCGCTTAATAAGCTTGATAAATCACATTACCAAAGTTTTCACCAAAATCATACACAATAGAATAATAAGAAATGCGAAGCAAATATATCGGAGTCACAGTTCGGATTCCGAAGCGCATTGGGCGCAAGAGAGGCGATTTTCAGTATGCAAGTTTTAACTCAAAGATGCAGAGACATGCACAAGGACGTTCACTTGTGCTTCATCGACTTCTCCAAGGCGTTTGACAAGGTCAAACATGATAAACTCATGGAAATGCTCAGGAAGATGCATATTGATGGCAAGGATCTGCGCATAATAACCAGTCTCTATTGGAACCAAAGTGCCGAGATAAAGATGGGCAACTTACACAGTGGGAAGATAGATATTAAAAAGGGTGTACGACAGGGATGCGTCCTCTCGCCGCTCCTGTTCAATATATACTTTGGACAAATCTTCAGAGAAGCACTGGGAGAAGTTTCGGAGGGTATCAAAGTAAACGGAGAGGTAATCAATAATATTAGATATGCTGACGACACAGTTATTATCGCAAATGACTGCAACGAGCTTCAAAGACGCAAAGTATACACACAGCAAGTCAAGAATATGATTTAGAACTCAATACAACCAAAACTAAATGCATGCTCATCAGCAGAACACAACAACCTCCGATGCAATTGACATTAAACAACCGAAAAATAGAACAAGTGGAGGCATACACATACCTTGGAACCACACTCAACCCAAATGGAACCAGCCAACAGAAATAAGATCACGAATTGAAAAAGCGCGAAACGCGTTCAACAATATGAAAAAGTGGTTCACAAGCAAAATCTCAATGGAACTAAAATTAAGACTGGTCAAGTGTTATGTCTTCCCGGTCTTGTTCTATGGAGCAGAGGCATGGACCACAACGGAAGCCACCCTGAAGAAAATAGAATCTTTTGAGCTGTGGATATATCGCCGTATTCTTCGGATATTCTGGACAGACCACATCACTAACGTGGAAGTAATGCAGAGAATAAGCAAAAGCAAAGAAATAATCTTCACCGTAAAGAAACGGAAGCTTGAGTACTTCGGATATGTCATGAGGCATAATAAGTACCGGCTGCTACAGTTAATAGTCCAAGGAAGAATCGACAGTAGGAGGGGACCGGGAAGAAGACGACACTCATGGATGCATAACCTGCGACAATGGTTCGGACTAACATCGACCGAACTGTTCAGAGGTGCCGTAAACAAAGTCAAAATAGTCTTGTTAATAGCCAACGTCCGAAACGGATAGGGCAAAGCAGGAAGAAGAAGATATAATATATTAAAAATATATTAAAGATATAACATTAAACTATACGACAACAAAGCTTAAAAGCAAGTAAAGCGGCGGGATCTCTTAATCACACAATCTGGAAGAACAAACAGCTAAGACAAGACACAAAAACAAGAATCTATAAAGCAGCAATTAGACCTATATTAACATACACCGCGGAGACAAGACCTGACACATCTAAAACGAGACGACTACTAGAAACAACAGAGATGAAAATACTCCGACGAATATCGGGGAAAAGTCTGTTTGATAGGGAGAGAAGCGAAAACATAAGAAGAGCATGCAATATAGAAGACATAAATGAATGAGTGACAAAACGAAAACATTAGTGGAACGAACACATCAGTAGAATGGCAGAGGATAGAATAGTACGAATAGCACGAGATAAGTCACCAAATGGACGAAGAAGTATTGGCAGACAAAGAAAAAAAGATGGTGCGACAATTTAAACAATTTAGTAGGCAAATGTTGAAGAAGAAACTGGCTCTAAAGCCTACATATAAGAAGGAAAAAGAAGAACATTCAACTAAAAGAAGTTTTAATATACTAGTACAGCAATACCAGAGACTAAAACTAAATTAAAACGTAAACGGAACGTAAGAGAAAAGAAAATACTAATGTAACAATAAAACACTGAAAACTTTGTTTTCATAACTATATGAAAATACTAATAGTAAAAAGTCTAAATTATGATATAGTACGAAAATTTTATAAAATA